CAGAAGTCAGTCATCCCTAAAATCATGGTGTTGACAGGAGCTGGTAAGAGCCTCTGAAACCTCCCCAGCACAGTGCTAACCAGTCACTGAGCCTACCGAGCTCTCCCCATATCTGCGAACTCAAACAAACGTAATGAATAAAAGGAATAAAAGCTTGTGTAGTCTCCTTCCTTCCATAGCCTACTTCCCTTGAATTACCAGTGTCTGCTGTAGCTGTATGAAAGATACCCATTATGCTGTCACTCTTCACTTGAACTTTGACATACCTTGTAATGTACACAATCATTATTTCCAACAAACGTTTGCTTTTTCAAATACATATATAATTACTACCCTAAGTTCATGAATACTAAATAAAAATGGTTAACTTTTACAGAATAATGTTTTTGTCATTTCATTACTTTCTGGCAGAAACTATCTTTTAAGCTTTCTATGATACAGAGTTTTGAACTATTTTTCAATATAGAAATGCTTTAAATAAAATTAGAACTAACAATTGGTGTTTCCTGGGCATGTCATAAAAGAAAAGATAAAAATGCAATGTAAAAAATTCCCAAGGAAAGCTGTCAATTTGAGAGTAGGTAAAATGACAGTAAATTTGAACATAAAGCATTGATTTGCTCTTAAACACCAAATGCATATATCACACATGTAGCATCTAAAATCCTTGTATTCGATCGTTCTGCATTTGAAGAACAACAAATTCTTAGCTTTGTTGCATTATAAGGTACAGACATATTATTTGGGGAAAATATTTTCCACATTCTGTATTTAATTCAAGTAAATTTTAGAACACAGAAAAGCAACAACAACAAAAACCTTTAAAAATATGTTCTATCATGATGAATTAAAGCCATTATCAATTCTGATGTATTTTTATTTTTCCATGTTTTGGATTTTTGTTGTTGTTATTGTTTTAAGACACAGACCCAACATGCAGACAAGGATGTCCTCAAATCTGTAATTCTTCCCTCCTTTTTTTATCCACTGCTGGGACTGCAGGCACACAGTGTCATACTATACTTCTTCTGGTATATGCATAAAATTAGAAATATTATACACAAAGACAGCTACTATTGCTTGACAGGAATGCATTTGTGCCAAACAGTATCTTATATCCTCCAAGAAGTTGGCTAATCAAATTTCCTTCCTACTTTGTACTTGCTGGCTACTGTTGAACTGAAAAGTTCAGAAACCTGGGAAAGAGGTGTGAAAACTGTGAAAGTTTCATCACAAAGGGCACTGGTGATCATAACCCGGGGCATTCCTACTGCCATGCCATGGTGGCTGGGACCATAAATCCAAAAGCGATCTTCCTGGCAAGAAGAAATTAGCCAAGAAGTCAGAGCTCACACTGTCTATGACTGTAACCATGGGAACACCCTGCCTTCCAGGGACTCAATGAGAAGCCCAGGACAAAACATGGCCAACAGGAAAGTCTGCAGAGACCCAGCTCTGAAATGTAAGGCCAGATGGGAGCTGAGCTCAAGTTTGAGAAGTGGAGTAAGAAGCTTCTGGTTTAGATTTGTTTGTTTTCATCACTAAACAAACCAAGAATTTCTTCCACGCCAGTTACTCTAACTAAATGATCACCTCTGATAATTTTCACAGAAAATTCTTACATAATTATATAAATTAATCCAATTAATCCTATGCTTAAACCTATGACACAATATATAGAAATACAAATGGCTTTGCACCTATAAAAAATTTGACAGCATGAACATTTCTAATTCATTAAGTAAAACATTTTCTTGGATACTTTTAATTATAGCTCTCTGAAAGTAAATTAAAATGAATTTAACTTACTAATCTTTTCTGAACTAAAAAATGATCTCAGAATTGTGTTATCTTCCCTGTGTGCTCTCTGAAATGTTGTGAGCTGAACATGATACAGTCTCAGTAACCCATCTAAGTTCTTAACTGAAATTGATTTCAACAAGACACTCTATATTTGGAAGAACATTGATTGTGTTTAATAAAAAGTGAATGAATATCAAAGAACATTCTGCTCTGTGTAATGAGGCTGTATAGATTAGGTCTAATTATTATTGATAAAATACCAAAAATCCTTCATGTATTGAATGGCAATTAGCTTTCCCCTCAGAGCAAAAATCTACTGAATTAAAAAAAAATAAAGATGATTCTGTTATAAATAAAAATCTGATATATAAAACAATGATTAAAAATAAAATATTTCTAAAATGTTTGTGACTAAAAAACTAAACTAGTATTCAGGGAGTATATTTTAAAATACTGTGGCTCACTAAGATTTAAAAAAAATTGTGACAAACTAAGTTGAAATAGATTTTAATTTTAAAAAATAAGTTAAAAGCCAGGGATCATGGTACACGCCTTTAACACCACCATTCCAGAGGCAGAAGCAGGTGGCTCTCTATGAGTTCGAGGCCAGCCTGGTCTACAAAGAGAGTTCTAGCACAGCCAAAACTACAGAGAGAAACCCTGTCTCAAACAAACAAAAAAATTCAAAAGCTGGACACACTTTTAATCCTAGCATTTGGGAGACAGAGGCAGGAGGCCAGCCTGTCTACAGAGTGAGTTCCAAGACAGCAAAGGCTATACAGAGAAACCTTGTCTCAAAAATACACGGGTCAATATAAGAAACCCTGTAATATATTTCTTTTTTTTTTAAAGATTTGTTTTCTTTAGTGTATGAGTGTCCTATATGCATTTACTCCTACATGATAGAAGAGAGCATCAGATCCCAGTATAGATGGTTACTGGCCACCATGTATTTGCTGGGAATTGAACACAGGACGTCTGAAGAGCAGACAGTGCTCTTGACCACTGAGCCGTCTCTCCAGCGCTGTAATATATTTCTATACAGAAGTCAAACAATTTTTTGTTTTGTTTTGTATAATGAGCAGTAAAGAGACAGTTGTGCTGAACACAGCACGTTACTCGCTGGGCCAATGGGAAGTGGGTAATGTGGTATACATGCAAAGAGCACATTTCCAGAATCTTCAGCGCCAGCGAGCCTGCTCACTCATTCACTGGTTCATTGGTTGACTCACACACTCACTCACTCATTCACAGCTCTGACTTACTGAGGCAATGTTTAATCCTCTGAGAAATCTAACTTCCTGCACTGAAGTCTAAGCCAAGATGGAAATGCCTGCTTTTTCACAAAGAAACTGTTAGTTCCAGAAAAGGGCGGGGGGGAGGGGGTGGTGAGAAAGAAAGAAAAGAAAAGAGAGTGAGTTGCAGGACATGCAGGACTACACAGAGAAATCCTGTCTCCAAACTCCAAAGCACACCGGGCGTGATGACACCCGCCTTTGAGGCCAGCACTCAGGAGGCAAAGGCAGGTGGATCTCTGTGAGGTTGAGGCCAGCCTGGTTTACAAACCAATCTAGGACAGCCAGGACTGTTACATAGAGAAACCCTGTCTCAAAACAAAATAAAACAAACAAAAAGAACAAATAAAAAAACCAAAGCACAACAAAAACATTTCTGTGCCTTATAAATGGCCCAAAGAGGAAAAAGAGGTTCAATCAAGAAAACAAGTATCTGCTTTACTTTGCTGAGCATTTGAATCTATTTGGAACATTTTTTAGCATATTATCTCGTTTTGACTTTGCCATAATTCCACAAGGTAGAAATATTATTATAATTGCCTCTATATGATAAATAAAGTAACTGAAGGAAAACAGACATTATTTTATTGTTTGGCAAGACAAAACTACTCACTCAGCCATACCAAAAATCTATGTCTCCTCTCTCCCTAAATCAGAGACTCTTTCAACAGGGCTGGTAAAGGTACCAAGGATGTAATAAGCATTTACAGGGAAATTAATGTGAAGAGACAGTCTCCAAGGAGACAACACATGGATGAGGCTTTCTTGAAGCCAGTTTTGGGAAAGTGAATGTAAGGTTGTATATTTAATTCACAAGTTCAACGCGAACTGTGGTGATATGTTCAGAAATGTGCAAAATCAATTTAAAAGCAATTCCTGTAAAACATTAGAAATTCCACTTACCTAATACTAAGGATCTCTACTTCCCAAATTAAAAAAAAAAAAAGTAAACAAACAGATCACACATGTGGTGTGATCAGATGGACCAGATCCTGTCCCCAAGCCGTGTGGTTTTCAAACTCTCCTTATAGTATCTTATGAACTGCCTATTCAGACTGGCTTTTCTGAAACTGTTTTACCTATCTGGGGTAAAACGTCATGCTAACAATGCAGATTTTTTATACTTTATAAGGTAAAAAACTGATGATTCAATTAATAAGCAGGAATGACCTTACTTAAATATGAAAACATCACTACAGCAAAAGCTCTTTGTTGACTGAAGCCTCACTGAGGCCATCAGAGCATTGTGTTAAGAAAGGTAACCCTCTAGAATGCAGAGGGAGTTCCTTCATTTAGGTTACGGTACTACTTTTTGATTCAAAGACTTCTTTAAAAGGCAGATCCTGGCCCTTCCCCTGGGCTGGGCTGCCTCCTCAGGCCTCAGTGGGAGAGGAAGCCCGTAGCCCTGCTGCAAGTTCAGGTGCTGGGGTGGGGTGGTACTCTTGGTGGCCTCCCCTTCTCTGAGAAAGGGGTGGGGGGACTGGCAAAGGAAGGGCTAAGGGTGAACTGGGAGGAGAGGGGGGAGGATGCTGGAATCAGGCAGATGCTGGGGTCCATCTCTGGCTTCAGAAGTCACCCACACTTAGTTTTATACCAAAGCTGAAATGGCCCTTTGTGATATCCACCATTCCGCTTCTGCTGAGATGCTGAACAAAATCCCATTTCCACCTTAGTTCTTAATGTTACAAGCCAGCTTTGAGGTGCAGCTAGCTTTCAGGAGATTATGGTTTGCATATTCCATAAAGAGCCAACATTTAGGAGAGCTATTTGGGTTAAACATATTAGACCCATACAAGAGATCATTCTGACCAAGGAAGTTCCTCTGAGAAAGCAGTGCGTTTTCCCCCTGCATTAGCATGCTTAATCAGAGCCAAATGTACGGTTTGTGGGGAAGGTATTTACCTTTATTACCTCGGGGTACTGCCTCAGCTTCTTTCCACACGGAGCATAATACGCCACTTCTCCCTGAAGGCGCCCACCAAAGTTTCTCACTCTTGTCTCTCTCTGCCAGCTACATATGACAGAAAGGGGTGTTACAAGATACTTGATTTTAATTAAGAGAGCCTTTCAAAAGTTGAAAACAGTTGCACATACTCTTCAGAAAACATTAAGAAATGAAAACAAAAATAAACACGTAATCATACAACTGAAATACGTCTATCATTAAAATGATTTAGATTTTTAGCTAACACGAAACTGTCAAGTTTTACAGAAATCACAGCTGGAATTATTTTGAGGACTTAAGACATCTGAGTAGCGAACACCAGTTGTAGAACGCCGAAAGCTCCAAGTACGAAGAGCACACACTTTCCTCTGTGTCTAGGGCCCCGAGCACCCTGTCCAAACTGTTACAAGACCCAGTTAAAGGAATCTCCTTGAGTACGTCTGCCTTTCCCCTGGCATCTTTCCCTGTCCCTTATTTCTGTCTTGGGAGCCTTCTGAGAATATCACTCTTTTCTTTTGACAGTGTCTGGCTGCTGGTTCATTCCAGGCACATGAGCCCTTCCCAACCCTGCAATACCTTCATAGGATGAGTTTTTGGTAAGTTAATATTTTGCCGTTTATCATAGCTCTTCTTCTCCACTATAACGTGGAGAGGCGAGAGGAGACCACGTACAGACAAAGCGTGCGTGGACTGCGGAGGCCCTCTGTTCCTTACCCATATTCCACAGGAAGACGAAGCTCGCGTTCATCTGGCGCTCTTCTCCGTTTGGATGGACCTGTAAGAAAAGTCAGGCAGCAGGTGAAGCACTCAAATGGACAGGAACAGTTTTCTGACAGTTCAGAAATTGATCTTTTAAAGTCCTAATGAGATTATTCATATAGTTGTGAAAAGCACGCTACTTCCAGTGCCTACTACGTACCTAGACAAGTTTTCCCTCTGTGGGCTGAGCACAGATGCTGGGAGTTCTCCCCAACACTAGAGCTGCACGGCCTTTCTCTTACTCATCATTAGCAGAAAAGCCAATAGGGAGGGAAAGAGCTGACAGAGGTCTTGGAAACCCACACACTGTCTTCTTTGGCGGTCTATGACTGTTCATACAGATGCTACAAATTTTCAAATTTGGCTCAACTATGTAAAGACAATTTCATTTCTATGTGCATATATATCTACAGAATAAAACAGTACCAGGCCTTCAATTAACCAAAACCACACAGGAAGAGGATTGTGGTTATATGTACATTTTTAAAGGCATAATGTAGGTTTTACAATTACAAATATTAAATAAGTGGGACAATGGCTTTTTGTTGAAAATAAAGGCAAAAATTTGAAAGTGCCAATGAGAGTAAAATAAATAAAACAGAAGCAAAATAGTTTATATACACAACCCATATTTTTTTAGTTCTGGAATGAGAATATAGAGTAACAATACCAGATTGCTAAGTGTAGGAATTTTCTTAATGAAAATGCCTAGAAGTTTATAATCAAATTTATAAAAAGATAATGTTATAGACTTTAGAATGCTGTTCACTAAAAAAATAAAAAATAAAAAAACTGAACTATACAGTGAGTGGGCAGGCCAAAAAAATAAAAAATAAAAAAACTGGACTATACAGTGAGTGGGCAGGCATTTCGTTATCCAAATGAATATTTCACACAAAGCACACACACAAAAAAATCCAAGTCTAAATTAAATTCTATACTAACAGAAAGGATGAACATAAAACAAGAAAACATTCAAAAGTCAAGAGGGGTCATCAATTATAGTGATAAAACAGAAATCACAGGGAAAAGATTAAAATATCAGGCAAAGGAGTATATCTTTTCTTAGCCAGTTTAAAATCCAGATGCAAAATACGATGACAATGAGGTTCTCTCCAGCAATGCAGGCGGCAATCCGCGCTGCAGTCTGACTTTCCCTTTACATCGGTAAGAATAAAGTGTAGGTACCAGAGTGCGGGCTGGCCGTGAGTGTGGAAGAAGAAGTGCCGAGAAAAGCAGGAGACGGGGGCTCAGCACACAGGGCGGCGGGGGCCGAGCCGGGGGTTACTGCTATGTGGAGGTTGTGCGGAGTCGAGGGAGCTGTGAGGCTGACAGGGGGGCTTTTGGCCGATGAGCTTGTCTGATTCAGGTTTGCAGCGGCTTTCTCTCCTTCGGTGTCACTATCTGATTCCTCCTGGTCTTTCTCATCGTCGTCTTCCGAGGCCTCCGAATCTGATTCTGAATTAGTATCTGATTCTGGGAAGGAGAGCAGCACTACATTACAAGCACTACATTACAGCTAGGTCATGACCAACCACCTGCAGTTTGCACCTACGGGAGTATTTGGGAGTCAGTATTTGCGACTTAGGATTCAAGAACGCCATTTCCCAAGAGGAAGTATGGATGTTAAGATTACTATTTTATAAGCTATTTGAGTAAAGTGTTATGGAGACTACAGTTCCTCAAATCTCTCTTAAAACCATCAGTTTTACTTAACATTTGAATCATAAAATAGTTCCCACATGATACTATTCACATTTCAGTTCTGCTTAATGCTTTCAAAATTAATTTCAACTTAATAACGAAAACACAGGGAAGAAGGAAAGCTGACAGGGCCCAGGGTATTTGGCGTCTCCTGTGCTCAGCTTCCTCTCCTAGAGCTACCGTCAGCTTTCTATCTGCAATTCTTTCTGCATTAAAAAACCAATTTTCAAGGGAGTGGTTTTAGTTCCTTGTTTTGCTTTTTTAGCTGTAGTTTTTCTACTCAGGTAAAGACCTCACCAGGCTTCATGAGAGTCACAAACCGTGCTCAGAGATAACTCACAAACAGAAACAGCTGGGGGGACAAAAGATGGGCCGGGGGAGGCAAACCGTCCCGGCCGTGAAGTCTGCATGTTAATACATACGGCAGCGCACACTCCTATAGGCAAGCGATGTACAACACTGAATTAAGCTCTAGGTAAACACAGGAACGCACCAAAGAGGTGCCCACAACAGCACCCAGGTACCATTATTTGCTCTGGTATTATTGCCTGCACTGGGGTTAATAAAGCTAATTTGTAAAAGCTATGAATACCGTATTCCAGGCTGACCTCAAACTCAGAGATCCACCTGGCTCTACCTCCGAGTGCTGCGATTAAAGGTGAGTGCCACTACACAGGGCTCAAAATTATCATCATCATCATCATCATCATCATCATCAATTTTGGTTTTCAAGATAAGGTATCTCTGGTACTTCAAAGTCAGAGATCCTCCTGCCTCTGCTTCCCTCTGCTGGGATTAAAGGCATGTGTCACTGACACCTGGCTCCAGATTACTTTTGAAAGGAATAACAACTGTACCGTGAATAAGTGGTCCCGAATAAAGCAGTGATAAAGTGTGATTCAGGCATCCCCATTGCCACTTTATATTTGGGCATTTAATGCCAGGTGACTGACACTAAGACTTAACTTAGAATTTCAGTATCACTTACTTTTATGTTTTATCAGCGATAAGAAACAGTGAATGTCCATGGTTTCAAGTATGTAAATTAAGATTCTTTTTTAAACGTTTTGGTTCATACACTGACAAGCAAACTTTAAATTTGAAAACAGAAAATAACCTGATTGGCTGTCATCAGACTCGTCGTCTTCATCATCCTCTTCATCTTCTTCCTCATCGTCTTCCTCTTCATCCTCATTTGAATCCTCCGAGTCTTTACTGCTCGGAATGTCTGAATCCGTTCCTCTGAACTGCTCCACCAAGGACTTGGCAGGGTGGGGGAGGTGCTGCGCTTTCAAGGGGGCTGGGCTGCTGCTTACCGCTTTCTCCTTCCCCTGGCTGTGCAGCACGGGAGAGGCGGAGGGCAGCGCCGGAGTCTGTGTGCCAGGAGTTCTTCTCCCACTAGTGCTCAGGTTGACAGGTGAGGAGAAGGGGCTGCTGCTGGCAACACTTTCGTTAGTCTTACTCTGTACTTTAGTTTTGGTAGTGAGCGCTAAGGGAGCTTCTTGAATGACACTTTGAATAACTCCATTTGGTTGGTGATTACCTAAAAGTGCATTTGTCAAAAATGGGTTAGGGTGGTTGTTTTCTAATGGTTGTTTTGGATGTGCTGGTGAACTAGAGGTTGCTTTTGTACTGGACAAAGCTGCAATAACCTTCTTCAGGCTCTTGGCTGTCTCCTGTTTCTTCACTTGAGATGGGAATGTCTGCTTATATTGTTCCTGGTGAGACATAAGTTAAAAACAAAATGAGTCAGGCCAGAAAACAAACTTTGTTTGCCTCTGTTATTATCAGAACAGAGCCTCACAGAGACACTTAAACCACGATGTACAGGGGCTAGAAAAGGACTGTCAGCAATGACAACAGGCTGGTGAACCTTGATTAGATTAAACATATTCAGACCTGCATTCATTTTGACCACTCAAAATTCATGTATTTCTTGACTATCCCCTCTCTTAATTGTTGCTCTCATTTTAACAATAATCCAATTCTGAACACCTGCATTTGTCTTGGTCAGAAGCATTCCCTACTCCATCCCGGGTGCTCTCTCTGACTGAGAGTCAGTGACATACTTGTTGCCTTGTTTTCCTCTTTTTTGAGACAGAGTATCATTCATGTAGGTAGGCTGACCTTGAACTCCTGATTTTCCTGCCTCTAATTCCCAAACTCTAGGTAGGATTGCAGCATGTGCCCTAAAGAATTGGCTCTCTAATTTTGCTTAGTTTAGGCAGAGCTCTATGTATAATGTTTAAAGAGTTAATTCTTCAGTTGTGGTGAATTTCTGAGGCAGGAATTGCCATTTGTGGTCTTCCTGAAGCATTCCTTACAACCCTAAACTAAAAACACACCTGAGACTAAGATTAGATTACTAATGAATACTTGACATAGAAAACCTTGTTTATTCTTGCTTTTGAGATAGAATCTCATTCTATAGTCCAAGTCACCCTGGGACTCATCATTACCTAAAGTGTCCTCTAATTCTCTTGCTTTGGCAGGACCAGGCTGGTCTCCAATCAGAGAGATCTGCCTGCCTCTGCCTCCCGAGGGAGGGGATTAAGGGTGTCTGCCACCATACACCTTAACTTTGAAAATTAGGGACTGGAGAGATAACTCAGTGATTAGGAGCCCTTGTTGCTCTTGCAGAGTGCAAGCATACAGTTCCCAGAATTTGTATTGTGGTCCATAATCACCCAAAACTTGAGTTCTCTTCTGATCGCCTCAGGTATCAAGCACAAATGTGGTGCACAAGCTCTGTCAATACAGGCAAAACACTTACACAGAAAAAATTAAATTATTCAAATAATCCTTTGTAATCAAATGCTACTACATTCGTACTAATACAAAACCTCACAAAGCCTTTAGTTAGTTATTTATTCACTATGTCCCTTTTCTGTTAATACTATGATTCTCAAGTAAAATATTTTTATAAAACTAAGATATAATTTTCTGGCGGAAAAATCCAATGTGTTTCATCTCTTAGAATGTACCTATCATATAATAAACCTTTTACAAACATGTTTCCTTCTCATACTGAGCCGAACTGTTCCATGTCAGAAAAGTTTACACTGTTCATTCATATTTCAATTTTCAGCAACTGCTCCTTGCAGCTGTGATTCTAAAGACTCTCATACCATAAGTTTATACCCACAGGGTTTCAGGAATAAACAGTGACTATTGCATTTGTATTTCAAAGCTGCTGTCAGTTAATCTTAAGAGTATATGTCTTATCTCTTCTGATGTTAGGACAGTGTATAAAACTAGTGGCTACAATTGCTGTGTTACAGCGTCAACTATCCACTGGCAGTGGATGGGGGATAGGCCTGAGGGGCTGGCCTACATCTAAGGTCGTACTTTGTTATCTCATCTTCAACAAATGAAAAAAAAAATCCCCCAGGTCAGCCTTGACTTACATAGATCTATCAAATTCTATCCAGCTCTATCTATAATCAAACTTATAATTTAAATTCCATGTTCACAATGTAGGCACTGAAGGAATCAATGATAAAAAAAAGTCAAGTTCATAGACTAATGAGACTAATGATAAGGTCAATGAATTAATAGCAGGTAGCATGGAACAAAAGTGACTGTCATAAAAAAATAAACAAAAGTCAATATGTTACAGTCCTCTGTAAAGAAACTATTTCAAAAGAAGTATTGATGAAATGTTCTGAAACACAGGCAGGTGTGCCGACGCACACCTGTAACCCAGCACTCACGGAGGCGGGAAGATCTCTGTGAGCTTGAGGCCAGCCTGGTCTACAAAGTGAGTCTAGTTTAGCCAAGGCTACACAGAGAAACCTTATCTCTAAAAAATGAAAAACCAAATGAATGAATGTTCTGTAACACTAACTAAGGTGTGCGGATAACATCATTTCGAGCTGAATCTACTACGTGTCCACACGCAGGGCTGGAGAGGTGGTTAGGAAGCTCAGTGGTCACAAGCACTTGCTGCTCTTGCAGGAGACTCAGATTTGGTTCCCAGAATCCACATGCAACTCCAGTTCCAGGAGACTGGATGCTTCTGCAAGTACCAGGTATAACACTCATATGTGCAGCGCGCGCGCACACGCGCACACACACACACACACACATCAAAGAAAAAAGATGTCTGTTCAGATAAAATATTTGCAATTAATTATTATCATTTCAATAGCTTATGTATTCTTCTGGGATGAACTCTAGAGAGTGAGCACATAAATTTTTAGTTACGATGCTTGTTTTAAATCCTTTTACCCTGAAGTTTCATTAGATATAGCAAATAACTTTAACTTGAGTCTTACATAGTTCCTTTACGTGACTTAGTACAGAAATAGGGCTACATGTGTAAAGATCCTACCTTCACTTCACCTATTACGTAAACATGTAACTCATTTACTAAATGGCTATCCAATACCATGTAACTGACTGTCTCCACGGGTGGTGTACATGTGAGTCTGTACACATTAGTGAGCTGCTGCACACACAAGAGGCCAGAGGAAGACACCGAGTGACTGACTTCCTTGGTTGTTTCAGGCTCTGCGACAGGATCTCCTGGTGAACCCAGAGCTAGGCTATCAGCTGGTGAGCCCAAGCAATCCTCCAGTCTCCACCCCCCACAGAGGTAGGGCTGCACACATGGACCGCGTCTGGCTTCTTATGTTGGGGCCGAGAACCCAAACTCAGGTCCCCCTTCTTGTGCATCACGTGTTCTCACCGGGATCCATCTCCACAGACGTGAATTCTTTCATAGAGGTATTTAAAGCAACATGTAGGAAACCGAAAGCAAGTAGTTATTTGGAACAAAGGTAAGGTCTGTTAAAGCTCTGTGTTCATTTATCTGGAAGTAAAATAATAAATTGATAAAAAGTTTGAAGCCAAACAGTGTAAGTTTCAATTTATTCAGTTTGCTCCTAGAGAGTAGGTCATCTGATGTTGACGACACTTTGTAAAGTCTGATATCATACTCTGGTGTACTGTTCATTCTATTTAGACTGGTGGTTATTGAATCTGGCCACACATTTCAATGATCTAGGAGGCTTTTTTAAAAGTCATATATGCTAGTCCACGACAGCAGAGTCTGACTTAATTACTCTGAAAAATAATTTTCTTAAACTTTCCTAGATAATCTAATTCATAACTTGACCTCAAAACTTATTCAAGTCATCAGAGGAATTGATAGAAAGAGACATAGTAGATTTTTCTTCTTCTATTTTTTTTTTTTTTTTTTTTGGAAAACAAAGGCAGCCTGTTATATTGTTAAAAATGAGGATTCCAGGGCTGGTGAGATGGCATAGCAGATAACAGGGCCTGCCAGTAAGCCTGACAACCTGACTTTGATTCACAGGACCATCATGGCAGCTGAGAGTACTGATTTCCACATGTTACGGGGCTCATTTTTCTGTCTGTCTGTCTGTCTATCTATCCATCCATTCACACACATGGACATGCACCTATACCCCCCCACCCCAAAAAAAATCACTGAGAATGTAAACAAACACATGAACAAAAAGGAATAAGGATTCTAGTACATATAACACACATTTGGATTCTAACTATATCACTACTGAGCAGTGTGGTCCTGTGCGAGTTGTTATACAAAACTGACTTCTTAAATTAACTGAGTTACATAAGATTAATTCTATAAATCTCAGGTTTATCACCTATAAATGGAGCTAACAGCATTAGTAATACTTACAGATGATCTTAGCTAACAAGTAAACGTAGATTGGCACTAAAAAAATCAACAGCCAGAGCTGGGGAGATGGCTCAGAGGTAAGGCTGCTGGCTGTGCAAACATAGGGACCTGAGTTCAAACATGTAGATGCCACAAAAACAGTCGGATATGTTCGCCTATCCCCGGGATGTCAAAATGCTAACTCTGGTAGGGTGAGGGAAGGAGCTGGGGAATCGCTGGGCTGGCGGGCTGCCAACCTCATTCTAGGTTCTACGTGAGACCCTATCTCAAAAGCTTGAAGTGGAGCCTGACCCGCCTATCAATCACACGCACCACAGATACACAAAGTTAAGAAGGCACACCGACCAAACCGTGGCTGCCTCGGGCGTGAGAGTAGGCATACACTACTGTAGCAGTGCTGGAAACGAAATTTTAAAAACTGTTTACACTTAAAAACCTGTAAATTCTAAGATTAAAGGGAAGACGTTAAGAGTTCATTTCTTCAACACAGAACTAAATACTAAAATAAAGAGGCAGTAATTTTAAACAAGAATAACTATAATGCATGTCTTATTGAACATCCCGTACTCCTACTGAGATATATAGTTAGACGGGGCTGGGTTGACAACACAGCAGTGCCTTCAGAAGCAGGTGAAACAGGCACATACAAGGCCATAAAACCAGAAAACACATTCAGGGGGGAAGTAGGAGACTGAAACCGGGTCTTCCTCTACCACTGAGCTTCATCCACAGCATGAAATCTTGTTTCCTCTCCTGGAGAAGAAAATCAAGCCCAGTGCTGTGCTCCACCCCTGGGCATGTGCCCCACTCATATAACCTAGCCCCACGCGTTTCTAGCAGAAAGACTCTTATGTACAGAACACATGGCTTACCCGTTTGGATCGCAATTCACTGGTCAAAGAACTAGATTCTTCGGAGGTATTTTTATTCCCTGCTTTAAGTACTTCGGGAGAAGGAACTGTGAGTTTCCTGTAGGTTTCCTTTTTGGCTTGATTTACCAAGGACAAAGGTTTCACATTCGACACCAATCCCGTCGACTGTATCACACTGGTGTGTTTGTTCACAGATCCCTCCTTTGCCTGAGAGCTTTGGAAAATAAATGGAAGCTGCTGTGACAAAACCTGAGGCTGCTTCTGCTGGGATTGGAATGATGAGTGGGTCTGGGATTCAGACACAAGAGGTAATGGCTGGTGTATTCTTTTTTCCTGGGCTTTTTCAGTTGCTTTCTGTCCGTCCGCTTTCGGGTCTGAAATACCATGTAATAGCACCTGGAAATAAAATGTAATATACTTGAAAAAGTATTCTAATCACTTATGGCAAAGACATAGCACAAAGCTCGCTATAACATAACCAAATGCCCTTAAACGTAGTGTTCTGTATGAAAAGCTGACCAGGCTGTGAGTCAAGATGAAGCCTCTGCCTCCTCACTGGGGATGAGCCCTGCGCACGCGCAGAACAATACCTGGTTGCTACTTTTGTGTTGTGCTTCAGTCTCTGAGTCAGAGTCATCCTCTTCACTCTCCTCAATACTTTGATCTTCTTCCTCTTCCTCTTCCAGATCGTCTGAGTCACTACTGCTAATGCCTTCACTTGAGGTGTCTGACGATGTGCCTGAATCACTATCACTGTTGCTAGAACTTTCCATAGCCTTCTTCCTCGGTTTCTGGAGAAAGAGCCGTTATTTGGCAAGACTATCCTTTTGAAAAATTTCAGGGTTCAGGAACAGGCATGCTCTGTTAATTTTCAAATGATATCCTCAACATTAAAACACCATTTTAGAAAAAAAGAAATTATTTGTCATGAGAGTTGTTTTATTAATCAGCGAACTTATCTGACAGGAAATCACCAATAGAAAGTGGAAGTCCTGACCTGGCTAGTCACTGAATGTATTTCTACCATTAATCTGTTTAGAAAAAAAAAATAAAAATAAATTTATATGGGGTGGAGAGGGATTTTGTAACCTAAAAAACTTTCTTATATTTTTTTATTCGAACTATTCAAACTACATCAAATAATTCCATTGTGTTACTTAATGTACAAATTGTATTCCTATGCATAGAGTATGGCTTTAACAGTACATGTTACATGTGGACAAGTTAAAATATATATTGTACATATGTAGATTTATTTACATCAAAGCTATGCTTCGAATACTGCAACTTTCAAAAATGTAGTTCACAAAATACACAGATTTAGTATGGGATTTAGTGTGGGCTCTCTCTCGATAGTAAGTAGACAAACCTGACCTAAGATGTGTAAAACGACATTTTCAAGTACCCACTAGAGCTGTGTGCCACAGCGGATCTCTGCATGGAGGAGACTCGATCTATGCTCACAGGAGGGAAAGAAATTCTTAATAGAAAAGAATCATTTGCATCCAGTACTGAGGGACACATAGAAGACAAGGCAGACTGTAAAACACTATGGAGACGAGGAATCGAACCCTGTATAAGAATGTGTCAGATCAACTCAGTACTTGGAGGCAGAGGCAGGAAGATCTCTGTTAGTTTCACACTATCCTGATCTACACAGTGAATCCAGGCCAGCCAGGGTTACATCATAAAACCTTGTCTTAGGGTGGAAGAATTTAAATGGGGTGGGGTGGGGGTGGGGACTATTTCTACACTACTTAAGATTAATGAGAAAAATTATTGAAAGCTGACAGAAAAGGATAATATAACAAGTCTATAGAGGGTCTACAAAGCAAGTTCCAGGACAGCCAGGGCTGTAATACAGAGAAACCCCATCTCAAAAGAACAAAACAAAACAAAAACAAGGCTTGTGTGTCGTATGTTTAAGAAATAGCCAGAGAGCTGGGCATGGTGGCATAGCCTGTAATCCCAGTGCTTGGGGAGGGAGAGGCAGGAGAATCTCTGTGTTTGAGGCCAGCCTGGTCTATAAAGCAAATCCAGGGCAGCCAAGGCTACACAGAGAAACCCTATCCTGAAAACAAAACAAAAAAAAACCAGAAAAACAAACCGACAAAAGAAGGAAGGGAGGGAGGGAGGGAGGGAGGGAGGGAGGGAGGGAGGGAGGGGAGGGAGGGAGCTAGAAGGGCTGGACAGCTGGCTCAGAGGTTAAGAGCACTGGCTGTTCTTCCAAAGGTCCTGATTTCAGTTCCCAGCAACCACATGGTGGCTCATAACCATCTCTAATGAGATCTGCTGCCCTCTTCTTGCCTGCAGGCACACATGCAGCCAGAACACTGTATATTCTGTATATACTGTATATAATATATAAATAAATCGAAGGAGGGGAAGAGGAGGAGGAGGAGAACAGCCAGAAAGGGTGGATGCCTGTAACGAAATAGTACTTTCAGGACATGGAAGAGCATCTGCGAGCATGATTAGAAGTGGTTGTGACTGCTCAGACAAGACCTGCAGAAGAGCAAGCCAGCAAACTCCCAGAAAGGATGCTGGAGGGGAGTTCTACCCATGCCTGAGAAGCTATTGGAAATTGATGGCCACTGCGTGAGGGATGTGGTCAATGAAGGATTATTCATGTTCCAACACATGATCCTACACTCATACAGGCAACAGCTCATTCAGGGTAATGAAGAGGAGGGGAGAGGGGAAGAAAAGGAAGATGGAGGGAGGAGTATATACAAGCAAGAGCAAGAGCACACATCAGCAAGCTCATAAAGTTGGGAGGGCAATACGAGAGAAATGGAGGAGGGAGGAATGGAGAAGATAGACTGGATCCGAACACATTAGAGGAATGTATGAATAGTGAAAATTTAGTAAAAAGGAATGAGTACTGGATGAAAAGATAAATCTTGAGGAGAACATGAAAGAGCACCATTATACAGTTATGCAGCAATAATAAAGCCGGTTGACAGGAAGCGTGACCAGGAAGGCTGTTGAAAGGATAGAGCAACACCACTAAGGGCAATTTGTAGCTCCTCCCAGTCACCTCAGGAGCATGCACTGACACACGAAGAATGCAGTATTGGGAAAATTAAAAATCACAAGTTTCAGTCCTCACAAAAACACAGATTTCACGACTCTGGGGCTTGGGGAACGAAAGTCAGAAGTCTCCTTCTACAATGGGAAGCCAAACTGAAGCTGCAGCCACGGCTTCCACAGACAGCCACCAACAGGGCACTGAGCACGTCGTCATTCCCTGTGGCATCAACCTCCTTCTCTCAGGTGATGAAAAACTGAATCTGGGTGGTGTGTGAATCTGGGTGGTGAGAAAGACAACAACGCAGAGGCCAAAGGGAAAGGACGGTGATAATGTTGAATCTGCCATTTGGCAGAGGATCAACTACTTGGCAGTCGGTATCTGTTACGAGTTTCTAAGCATATACACACATTGTGAATCGAAGCTGAAATGACCACTTCTGGCTCAAAAAAGGGCTAGGAAGCAAGGAAATGTGGCATCAACAAATAATTTGGCAGAGAAAAACCATTTCAATGCTCATACTACAGGTACAATATAAATACATATATACATATGTATACATGATTTTTCCAGACAGGCTTTCCCTGAGTAGCCCTGGCTGAGCTGTTACTCACTCTGTAGACCAGGCTGGCCTTAAACTCAGGGATCCATCTGTTTCCCTCCCAAGTGCTGGGATTAAGGGTGTGCACCAGGATGCCTGGCTACAACTTATATTGTTAAAGATAACAAGGACTGGGGACTATGCCCCCTCCAAGTACATACACATCTGGTGGTGAAGAGAAGAGTCCATTCAAGAAAAGGAGGAAAGACTCATAAACACTCTATGTGATTCTGAGGGAGGTGCTCACGCAAAGCATGTACTGACAATGTAGAAAGGATCACAAACCCCCAGGGAAGGCAGAAGACAAGTAGCACAACCACAGTGGCACTGAGAAAGTAGGGCAGAAGCAGGCTTGGAAGGCATCAACTTTATTTTTAAAGTTCCTAGGAATGGAGTGTGTGTTAGATTTGCAAATTAATTTTGTAATTTTTATGTAGCTTTCACCAATGCTTCTTTAAAAATCATCTTGAGTTCATAAAATGATCAAAAGACAGATGACTAATTTTATTCTATCTGATCTCAGAGAGTTTCTTAGAACTGCCTTGAACTTTCATTTCACTGTATACTTTTTTCAGTAACAAAACAAAGACATGTTCAAGGCTATTATCTGCTATGTTGTAGGTGCTTTGAGGATTCAGGAGATGAGAAAATTCGCTGGTGAGAACAGGAGACATACATCAACATATGAAACATAAAACTATTTTGCGTGGTAAATAACGTTTATAAAGCGGAAGCACTTGACAACACGTGCTAGAGGTGATGGCAAGGAGTTTGGTGCGATCATCAAACACCTTGTGATCTGAGGCCTGAGTGAGGACAAGCACCCTTATACAGGACAGGAGGGACACCCCTAAAGAAAGGCACTAACTGGAAACACACTGGGCCAGTGAGAGCACAGTGAACCAGGAGAGAGAGGCAGGAGAGAAGGAAGGCTGGGCCAGCAGGCCTTGGCTCAGAGCAGCGGGCAAGTGCACGTTACACGGGCGCAGCAGACACGCTAGGAGTGCCACAGGACAGCCGCCTTCAAGTCCACAGGAGCCTGCACTGGAAACGCAAACATCTGAGCATTTTTAAGTTCTCAGCTTAGCACTAGTATGTGCATTCGAACTGGCACACGATTATCAGAATCCACCTTCACACACAGAAACACCAAACCCATTAAATACCAAATCCTGGGCTGTGAGATGGGCAGGAGCTAAACTGAGCCAGAAAACCCACACGATGGAAAAATGAAGAACGACCCCCCAAACTGTGCTCTGACTCCACACTTTGTGGAATGAGCACAAGCTCACGTGTACATGCACACGAGTCTGTTTCAGCTGCCATGAATAACTGACCTACAAGTGCATACATTTCAGACTCTTCGCTCAAAATCGTTTAATCATTTAAAAACTTTCCTTTTTCTAGAGATGGCATTGGCTACATAGGACAGAAATTTCTGTAACTGCAACAGGCTATATGTCTACCTATTCTAGTCTGAACTGCATGTGTTCTAACGATCCAGGCAAACTGCGGGGGAAACGTGCTTAGCAGTGATTCTAATGAGGAGGCCTGAGATCAGTACTCCGCCTTCAGAGGGACATACAAACTACCTGAGGAAATCCTTTTATACATGAAAGAGCTGATGAGGAAATTTTAATACAGCTTTTAATCTTGAAAAACAATGATTAAGAATACAGGAAGGCACATGTATGACTCAAATGTGCTTAAGATTATACAAAATCGTAACGTTTACATTATTATTAAATTCTAAAATTAATTAAAGCTTCGCTTAACAGTCGATCTCTGAATACTCAAACTTACTGAGTTGTTGACATGTACCAACATGGCACCTCTGGTCTGCATGTACAGTTTGAGAAAGGGGGGTATGTAGGCAAATTTCAATACGTGCTCCTGATGAGCATGTTTTAGTGCGGAGTGCTAATTCTGTCTAAGAATATCAGTGCAGACTCTGCACAAACTTACAAAAGCTAGGGCTGTTTCGCATTCACACGTTCCAAGTTTTTGTGCAATGCCTTGAACCTGTAGGACATATGAAGTTTCATATTTCACTAAATTTTAACACTATTTCCACGCGGTAGCATGATGAAAAGTTTAGAAGTATAGACAGCTGGCTTTTAGAAATACAGTATGAACAATGACATGATGCATGAGATTTGCTCCATAAAGCATGGAGGTAAGAGCAGGTGGCCTGTCCCGCCCGCAGGTGTCACACACAGAGAAGCCAGCAGAGGCTCAGACACAGGCCCTTGTTGCTAAGGCTGATGGGGCTGCCATGGGAAACACATCCTAAGGGAGAAGAACTAAGAGCAGCTGAAGAGCAGCAGGCGGGAACCTGCGCCCAGGAGGGAGGACAGAGGACGCGCCATCAGGTGTGCACAAGCGCTCGGTGTGTTTGCAGCCGAGAGAAAACGTTTGTTTGGGGCCCTGAAAAGGACTGCGGAGACATCTGATGACCTTCGCTAGGGACACCAGGCGACCTTCCCCAAGCTCTTATCTGGGTGGACTATACTCGGGGAAATATCTCTTTTCTGCTTAGAAAACAGAGATCAAGAAAAGAGAGAAAGGTAAAAATGTAGCTGCAGGTGTTTTGGATAAACGAAACCTGGACTTAATGGTGGTACATGTTTTATGAGATTGGGATGTCAGAGTTTTCCTTGCATTATGTAAAAAAGGGAGGCCAAAAGCTTGAAATGATGAGACTCTAGAGTGAATTTACCATATGTGCCAATTATACACTAATCCACCACCAGCCAAGAGGCCATCAGCTGGCAAGGAAGAAGCCCACTGACACAGAGAGACAGAGAAACACTAAATGGGCAGCAAAACACCATCCCCAGACTCTTGGGGTTTTGCTGTTGTTCTGTTTGTGACAGGGTCTCTCAAGTAGCCTGGAATTTGCTTTATAAATCGCGCTAGCCTAGCCTGGCTCTGCTGGGATTGAAGGTGTGGGCTACCACACCAAGCCCAGGACCCTCTTTCTCTTAAGAAGGCCTAATCTTATGCTCAGAAACAATAAACTGACAGCTTGCACACACAGAGAGAACTGGCGCAATGTGGAACCAGTTCAACGCATCATGGGTGAACAGGGTAAAAAGTGGTCTACTGCGATTATCCGAAACTTCCTAGAAGAAAAGATTTCGTAGTTTTGTTTCTCCTATAAGTTTAGAGTTAACATGTTTGGCTTCAAATTTTGACTCAGCTATTTATTGGGTAATTATTAGTGTTATTTTCCAATTTGTACTAAGCACCACCAAATGCAGGGTATAGGGAAAACTGAAAATGATATGTAAAGCAATTAGAATAGGACTGGCCTTTAGGAGGTCTCCATCAAGCTCTCTTGTTGCTGGGAGCCTCGCTCATACCTTGTAAGCTTCACGTGTGAGGGCCTAGGTTCAGTTCTCACCACTGAAAAACTAAAAAGCCAAAAGCTCAACCCGTAACTATTACTGCCAATTATGTTATTTGTACAGGTAATCCGAGTTTTACGATCTAATCTCATGCCAGCATTGTACAATAAAAGTATACATCTGCAAAAACAGGAGCTGGTAATAAGAAATTAATCCACACATTCTGGCGCCTTGACTTTTAAAATATTTACCTTATATGTCGATCCACTCTGCACGTGTTCTTCAAGAAACAGCTTACCTTGTCTTTGATTTTGTCGGCTCTGGCATCCAAAGGCTGACTTTGGTTTTGTTCCTGATGACATTTTAGGGCTCCTCCACCTGAGCTTGTGCTTTGACTCTGTCCCATGGAACTCGAAGCAGGAGTGGATAGTACAGATGAATTGACACCAAGCACAGACGATGCACTGTTTCCGTTAACTGACCCATTTATACCTTGAAAATAACACGTTTATATGTTGGGAATAGAGCACTTGTGTATGTATAATGTAGAACAAGCTCACGACACTGTAAATGAAAAGAGCCAGACACTAAAAGTTACATGAAACATTCATAATGCTGACTGTGGAGACAAGGTGCAAACCAGCAGTGACCATGGGCCAGAGAGGGTGATTGCTTAAAGGGGGTAGGATTTCTGGAGATGAAAATTTAGAGTATGTTAGAGGGTGGCCATTGTGCAAAACTATGAACACATTAAATTCAACTTAATTATTTGCCAGCATTAAACTAAGCAAATATCACTTAAGTTAAACAAACATGTTTGGAAAACAAATAAATTACATGCAAGCATTGGCCTTTTAAAAATACTCCATTTAAAAGACCAATGGGCTAGCGAAAACATTGTAACCTCTAAATACTCTCCTAACAATACTAAGAAACTATGGAACTGACCATTTAGAAAAACACAGCAGTAGGGTGCTAGTTTGGATAAACTAATACTTCAAGTGCAGAGACTCAGCGTTCTAGCCTGAGTTACACATAAGGAGATGATGACAGATAGAAGAGCAGCAGAACAGGGTTCATACCTGACTGAACCACATCAGTGTCTGAGTACTATTTCCTAACACAAATTTAATTGGCTGCAAAATCAGGGGATTTGTAATATGAAAGGATTGTTCTGAGGAGCAAGCAAGATAACAGAGAAGCATCTAGCACAAGGCTGTAAACAATGTTCTTAAACCAAACTGCTACAAAGCTGTCAGGACAGAGGTTTTCAGTCCTTCAGTCACGCTGACGTGAGTACCTTTTTCAGAACCATTTCTCTTCCCAGAGGTCCTTGAGTGGAATGACGAATCGTGGTTGTGGGCTGCAGGAGCAAACAGCGGTGGAATGCCCAGTAGCGGCGGGAAGAAGGGCGCTCCTGCCCCGGTGTGAGCATCTGCACTTCGCCACCATTCTGCACCTCAAAACCAAACAGACCGACAGGAAGAACCTGAGTCAACTTTCTCATTCAGGGAGTGACTGTTTTCTTCATTTTATTCCAGAAACAATGTTCCAGGTTAGCTAGAACAGCTCAAATCACCATCTTTTCACTGTAAACCAGTATTTTGAATTTCATTAATCCTCTTATTAGTAGGCCATTATCAAGAATCTTCCCTTAACAGTTTTCTAGAAACACACTAAAAAAAGAACACATTTTCCACAATGTAAAGAATGCTAAAAACCTAGAATATAAAAAGAACAATCTGACTTGATAACCTACACCATCTAGTTACTAAATTAATAAGGAAAAGAATTAAGTCTGTATTAATCTAAGCCTTTAGGTTTGAAGCTCACATCTGAAGCCTCTTAAGATTTTCCTCCAATTGTATACAATATAAACCTGGCTTTGACAAATAGGAAAGGGTAATCAATACTATCAGGTGAGTCCAGTACATCTCAAATGCATTTATGGATGAAGTAATTCTGTAGCAGAACAAAAACAAAACATACAAAACCTAATGAGGAACAAGTTCTGAAATAAAATTTCCAAAACACATACTTTTTTGGTTGCGGTTGGTCTGATACTTGTATTTGATGCTAATTAGTGGCCCTTAAGATCTTTGTTGTGTAACCATGCCTAAGACATTATTCCTGATAGGTTGATTAAAAGGCCTGTACCTGGGCTAGATAGGAGAGCATAGGCATGGCCAAAGTTCGTGGGCTGTGGGGGCAGGAGAATCATGAGAAGAGACAGAAGGGAAGAGAGGAGAAGGACGCCACAATGGGTTAGCAGGGAAAGGAACCATGTGGGATGAGAGGAAGGACTCCGATAATGGCATGGAAAGGCGACCTTGCCAGGCCACAGAGGAAGAGGATGCAGGCAGTCCTTATAAGATTTGACAGGCTCGGGTCAGAGAGTAGGGGAGGAGAACTCCCCCTTTCAGTGGACTCAGGGAAAGGGATGGGAGGGAGAGGGATGGAAAGTGGGACAAGGAGGAGATGAAGGAAGGGGCTACAACAGGGATACTAAGTAAATAAATTGTAAAAAAAATTTTTTTAAGTAAAAATTAAAAAAATACAAGCAAGTATCTTGTGATTATGGGTGGAAGACGAGATAGAAATGTGTAAGGCGGGTGGCATGGGATGGGGCTAGAGGATATGAGATAGGGTAGGTGAACTGTCTGCCCAGCCCAAGGTAAATAAATTATAAAATCTAACAGGTGTCTGTGTCTTATTGATTGTGAAATCGGGTTAAATAATGCTGAAACAGTAACTATAGGGCAAATAATAAACTTTATTTAGCCCAATTCCCATTTATTTACAACAAATTTTAATTGAAAGTATAGGCTTATAAAGCTTTTAGCTTTAAAATGTATAAAAACGGCTTGCATTTTCCTTATACTTCATGAATTAAGGATGGCAGTGATTTTTTCTTTTAGACTTATGAAATCATTAAATTGAAAAAAATCATGAAAAAAACTTTTTATTAAAATACAGTTTTCAAGGAGGAGTAGAGACTAAAAAGACATCTAGACTTGGGTGGCAGCACATGACTTCAATCCCAGAGGCGGGATCTCTGTGAGTTCAAGACCAGCCTGGTCTACAAAGCGAATCCAGGACAGCCAGGGCTACACAGAGAGACCCTGTCTCAAAAAATACAAACCAAAAAGAGATTCAGAAATTATCCAAAGAACAGTCTTGTACTGCCTCATATTACATCCTGGAAACAATCTTCAACTGGCTAATCCACTAAATTTTAAAGTGAGTTCTCTCTCATACCAGTCTCCTAACAATACGACATTATTTCTTTGACTGGAAGAGACACAAGAACATTAGAAATAAATATCCACATAGTTTCAAGAGACTGCACTAAAAGATCTTTAAAAAGTTCTAAGAATAGGCCTTCATTATGTAAAGGTGAAACCCCTTATTTAAAAAAAAAAAAAGTGAAGCGTTCAAGGTCACGGCCATTCTCAGTGGAGTCATGAGCAATGTAAGCAAAACACGGCAAAGGCCACTGTTGCAACTGGAAGCAGGGTAGCTGGGGAGTGGCACCCGAAAGCCGGGACCTGAGCCAGAGCTGTGTGCAAACTCTGGACACTCAACCACCACCTAGATGCATTTACATGGTTAACGGGTGCGTTGTGTTTTGGGGAGAGGAGTATCTACACAACCCATTCCTACGAATAGACACGGGTTTGCAACTTTGTTTCCACCTATTTGGTTAAAACAGACTACAGCTTTCCCGCAATAACATATGGGTTACATCTCTGAACAACGTCTTAAGGCTTTAGAAAGTCAATAAAGTAATCAAAGCAAAATATTCTAAATGCATATAAGATATAATGAAACTCAGAAAAACACATTCAAATGCACCCCAGAATGTTGAAAGTAAGTATACAGCGGGCATTAGAGAAAAATAATAGGAAAAAAACGTATGCTATGGGAGGACAGCCCAGAGACAAACATGTAAGATCTGCTGGATAAAATAAAGAAAATGGCCATTTCTGAAGATAAAATGTCTGATATTATTTCAACTTTTTAGTGAAAAGTTTACATAGCTTTCAATTTGAGGAAAATAAGAAACAAACTTAGTCACAAATTAATTTACTTATCAAATAAAAGCTATTACATAAAAATAATATAAATAGGTAGGTACAAGATGGTTTCTAACCAAATTCAAAACCCCTAAGAAACACTGTAGCAGACACAGGAAACATTTCCAGTAAGTGATGCTAATATTTTAGAGTAGACATGGAATCTCAATTTGATCATCCTGTACATTTCTCTGTAGGTTTGTTTTTTTGGCACCAGGGTTTCACTAGTTAGCCCAGGCTGGCATCAAACTTGTGATCTCCTACCTTCCAAGGTTTAGATTTACAATCACCTGCCTGCGTGTCTTGCTCCGTTATGACAGAATTTTAAAATAACTCATATATGGAAAATACTGACCCATCCCAAAATTTCACCAAATTATAGCGTTAAAATGTAAATACCAACAATTTAAATATTTTAAAATGAATTTCATAAAGTATTATTTCAATATAAAATGAAACTGTGATTACATTAATATCCTTACATAAACTTACATTTGTTGTTTGAAATGAAAAAGTTTAGATGTATATAAAATTCATAAAAAGCTATACCTTACTTAAAATTGCTTATAGTATCTATCTTCTTGTGACTTCCTTGTATTTACAGTGAGACTTTTTTCCTAAAATGGCCATTTGGTTACCCTTCTGAATATAATATGTAGATTTAAAATGTAATCTAAAGAAAGTGGGTACTCTGAAATCAATCATACTCTCTGCCCATTTTGCCAAGAAGTGTATGCACATATGCATATTTTATTACTAAGGCCGCTGTTTTACAGTTACGTGTCCCTTGATAAGCCACAAAATACAGTGTTGGTGCACTCCTCCATGGCCACTCTCACGCACAGATTGTAACTGGAGAGTGAGTGAACAGCCTGTAGAGTCCCAAGAAGTATGCTGCTTGTTTACACGGGATGCTCTTAATTACTTTTCATTTATTTGTTATGTGTGTGGGGACCCACGTGCACACATGCGCGCATTCACTTACATGTATGTGCATGTGCAGGTCAAAGGGCAACCAGAGGGAACATGTTCTCTCCTTGTATGATGTGGGTCTCATGATCTGTACTCAGGGCATAAGGCTTGGCAGTAAGCGTCTTTTCCCGCTGAGTTGTCTTGTTGGCCATAGGCTGGTTTTTATATATTCGAAGTACCATCCCATGTAAGTTATTTTTTAATACTCTAGATCACCTTTTCAGTATTTGATTTTAATACAGTATTTATAATATAGTTTAGAAATGATCAAAAGCAGTACTAAAACAAATTACCACCAAAAAATAAAAGTACTGTAACTTTTATCAGGAAGTACATAATTACATACTATACTTAGATTTTATTTGGAAATCTTCTGGTTCAGTAGGTAGCTATTAATATTTGATACTAAATAACCCTGTTAAAAACAGAATGTGCCAGGTATGGTGGTGCTCAAGAGGCAGAGGAAGGTGGATCTGTAAGTTTGAGGCTAACCTGGTCTAACAGAAGAGTTCCAGGCGAGCCAGGGCTACATAGTGAGACTGTCTAAAATTTTCAGTTCCAGTTAATATATTAAAGGAAATATTAAGACTTGGTCAAGACTGTCTACTCTCAAATTTTTTCCACCATCCCGAGACAATGAAATTAAAGAAATAATGCGACTGAAGGGAGAGTACTTGAAATACAGATATAACTAGGTCTGTGTTCCCTGTACAGTTTCAACAGATACTTGGATTCTTGTTAAAGAAGCAGTGGATATACTCTGTCAGCCACTAACGATGCGTCCAAGGCCGGACTGAAACCCAAGCTAACTGCTAGCAGGACTAAGCGCTGCTGGTCTAAACTGTCCCAGTAACACACGCTTCCGCACTAAACTGCAACATTAATCACTGCACAATATAGGTGAGTCAGAACTTTCGAGAAAATGTATGAGTTCAGCTACTTGTGTGTCCACAATCTACATTCAGAATCCCATCTCACACTGGCCCTGACCATGCACATGAGCTAACTGCACAACTGTTGTGGAAATGTATTCCAAATATGCTTTTCAAATGAGAAAAAGTGTACTAATTTAAGATTCAGTTCAATTTCTTAATAAAGTAAAGAAAAATAAAAACCTAAAATAAATGTCTAAGTATTTGTAGGATGAGCTGGACTCTAGGTTCAGACTGTAAGGTGATTGCTTCCAGTGCTGGCCCTAACAAAGGGCCTCATTTATGCTAGACAAATACTCTCCACAGAGCACACTGCAAAGCCAAGTTAAATACTCGATTTAAATATTACATAATGGGACTGGGGGGACAGTTTAGTTGATAAAGCGCTTACCACAGGAGAATGAGGGCCAGAGATCAATCCCACAAAGCTACACATACCCCTGGGACCACGGACACAACTCTGGTGCTTGCTGGCTGGCCAGCCTAGCGAACAACTGAGCTCCAGAGTCAGGGGAAAACCCAACCCTTTGTCCAAAAACAAGGAGTACCGGGACTGAGGAAGACACCTGACTTCAATCTCTGGCCTCCCACAAATATGTTCTCAAATGTGTGCCCATGAGCACATAGTATATACATACACTCAGAGAGACACATGAACATGTACACATAAACATACAATACACACATACATGCTCCCCCAAAGAAAACTGAAGCTGAAGAAAATTAAAACTGTACAGTCACAATATATTGTCTACCAGAAACACTGGCCTTAATTATTCTATTCTAACACCCAAATACGTAACTAAGTGCTGCATCCCCTAACACACATAGTGAGTTTTATTTTGCTATGTGTGATAAATCTTGCCCAAGAATCTAATCCACTATGCTTTGCTGTTCAATTTCATAAACAAACAACTGCCTTTTCAGGCTTTTCCTCCTTCCTTGAACACCGTAGGAGATGTTTACCTGGAAAAGACGTTAGTTGGGGATGTGCGGCTAAGGCTGTGGGTGTACCAAGTGTCCCCAAACCACCAAATTCTGAATGCCCTGAGCTGGCTGAGTGTAGACCAAAGACTGGGTGGCTGACCATTGGGAAGGCACTCGACACTGTGGACAGGTTAAACGGCTGATCCCCAGCTGCTCTGAATAAATGTCCTGGGAGGGGAAAAAAACACACTTAAAGTTGTTTAGAGAAAAGAGATGAGCGTTATCTGAGAACAGCATTCATGAAGTTGACAATGATATCGTATCTACTAAATTTTTATTTTCTACTCTTTAGATCCTACAAAATGTTTGTAGAAACACAAAAGCACCGTGGGGTTAATCACAATGGACTAGAAGACCTTTAGAAGCTTGAATTTCAGATTTTAGGAAGTAGTCAGTTCTCTGGCAACACATGCACACTGGCGTGACATAACCTTCTGTTCTTAGGAACAATAAAGCATCCAGTGAATCTAAGCCTGAAAACCAATGAAACAGATCCCAACTCTGATACCAAGTTACCATTCAAAGAACAGACTCAATGCAGAGAGATGTCATTTTCATGTGCAAAATCAAAGCTCTGTTCCTGCCTAACATTTTGTTGAGAAGAGCATCCGAATTCTCAAAAGGCAGCTTATACCAGTGTAGCCAAATAGTGGCAAAGACAGAAAAATTAATATGGCTATAAGGCATTTCTAAATGGATTCACACATCCATTTGTATCAGATACCGAACAAGAAAAAAAAAAAAAAAAAAAAACGCTGCTTTATTTACAAGAAATAATCAGTACACTTTGGCTTCTTCCTATGAAAGCAGAGTATTAAACTCAGTATTCTAGGCTCATTTTACTTTGAATTTATTTTGACTAGTAAGGCATGCCTTTAATCCCAGCACTCAGGAGGTAGAAGCAGGAAGAGCTCCATGAGTAGAGGGCACCATGATCTGGATACTGAGTTCCAGGCTGGGACTATTTAATGAGACCTGCCCTAAAAGTTTGAATAAAATAAAATAATTTACTTTAAATATGAAAATGTTGATGTATATATATCTATAACCCTGCACTCAGGTTAAAACAGGAGGATTCAAAGTTCAAGGCCAGCCTGGACTGCATGAAGAGTTCAAGCCTAGCCTATGCTAATTAGTGAAACTCTGACTCAAAGAACAAGGACAAAACAAACAAGGAGTGGGGCTGTAGGTGCAGCCTACTGGTATTCAATGGCTCACCCTAGGTTAGACTCTCCCAGCACTCCAGAGGAAAACAGGCCGGCTACTCTGTGACTATTAAGGTGCTCTCGTGGGTAAACAGAGTAAGAGTCTGCAGTATCTCAGGTCTATGTCAACTGTGACTACAGATGACAAGTTCATTAATTTTACATAATAGCCCCAAAGTAATTGAAAAAAATAAGCTACAAATGTGAATATGTTTGCTTATTATTTAGCTATGTATCAAATGTTAACTCTACTTTTTTGGTTCTTAAGAAAACAGGAGGCTGTGTGTGGTGGCACACAGCTGTAATTATAGCACTTGGGAGGCAGAGGTAGCCAGATCTCTGTGAGTTCAAGGATAGCGTGTTCTACAGAGTCTAGGACAATCAGGGCTCTGTTACACAGAGGAGCCCCGTCTGGAAAAAAAGAAGAAGAAGAAGAAGAAGAAGAAGAAGAAGAAGAAGAAGAAGAA